GGGGCGGGGCGGGACGGGGCACGCGATGCCTAAATATTATTTCGCCCAGCAATGTGCATCGGGGGGCCCCGCCGCCGCAAGACCCGAGGTCAGCCGGCTCCGAAATAACACGCGGGGTGTGGCGGGGCGTGGCGGGGCGGGGCGGTATGGGTCCACGCAATGCGAGATAAACACCAATCGCGTTATTCGCGTGCATTCCTGCTGTCACACGGGCCGGGGTGCGGCGAGAGGGGGAGGGAGAGACAGAGAGAGGGAGGAGAAGATGGAGTGAGAGAGAGAGAGAGGGAGAAAGAGAGAGAGAGACGTCGATATGCAGTTTGGCGAGTACGCGAGGACCTCGCTCCGAGACATAACTGCCCTGACTAGGAGTCTCTCACAATGTAACTTTGTTTTCATTTAGCGGCAATACGACCAACTAAACGAACATTTTTGAATACGGCGGCGTAATAAACTAGAAGTTGAAAAGGACTTTAGATATTTTTAAAACGAACAACTTTTTATTGTGAACGCTGAACTTCGTGTTTCTGAGCACACAGAGTGTCTGAGGCCTGAGGAGTTGGAAGATGCGAGCAGCTGCTATATACACTAGAGAGACCATAAGTCTTAATAGTCACGGTAAGCTTAACACCCCCAACAAGCACGAGCATACCGCGCGCCTGCAGACTCTAGCGTAGGCCATCCCGCCACACACTCTGACGCGCGTGCTCAGAAACATCCGCGTGAAACAATTTATTGTCATCATTGTTATTTTTTTTTTTACCTTTTTATTTCAAAAGGTAAAGGTAAAGATAGGGTTGGAAACCCTGGAAAGTTTCCGGAAAATTTCCGAAAAAGCATAAAATTTCCGGAAAAAAACGGAATTTTCTCCAGATTTTGGAAAATTTCCGTTTTTTCCGGGAATTTTGGGGAATTTTTCGGAAATTTTCCGGGAATTTTAGAAAATGTACAACCTCTAGGTGAGGAAGTTTGCAGTTGCATTCCGGCCGGGGTGGTGGTGGGGGTAGGGGGTGCACCGCTGGGACGTGGATTCCCGCCCGGTTTCCGCCCGGGTTTATTTTTTTTCGCAGTGCCCCGGGGCTATGCGCCGCCGCTCTGCTGTCCACTCTGACGCGTGTTGTGCTAATTGCTCGCGGCGTTTACTTTATTGCCGTGCGCCATTGCGTTATTGGCTTCGCCTTCCGCGCCACGCCACGCCACGCCACGCCACGCCACGCCACGCCACGCCACGCCACGCCACGCCACGCCACGCCGCGCCACGCCACGCCACGCCAACGCCAAGCCACGCCTCGCCACGCCGAGGCTGGATCGGGATGGACAGATAAATGAACAGCCCCGGCGCGTGCCCGCGTCCACCTGACACTGACACTGCTCTGCTACTGCTACTGCTACTGCCTCTCTCTCTGTCTCTCTGTCTCTGTCTCTGTCTCTCTCTGTCTCTCTCTCTCTCTCTCTCTCTCTCTCTCTCTCTCTCTCTCTATTGGTCCGGTAGAAAGAGAGGCGGTTTTAGAGGCGGTGATTCACAGTAAGCGGAGTGCCTCGGGTGGGAGGCCTC